GGGGGGCTGGGACCCTCATTTCCTGGTGTCCTGCCCTGTGCGGGGCCTCTCCCGTCCCCTCCTCTAACCCCATGTGTCCCTGTGGATGGTGCTGTCGCCTGCGGCGCAGGAACTGTTACAATGGCGCCTCTCTCAGCTCCGTCACCGAGTCGGCCCTCTCCCCGCCCCGGGCGCCGCCTGGCCGGCCCCACGCCCCGCTCTCCAGCTGCTCTCCTCCTCAGTGAACAATGGCCGGACGCAGGTGGGGCAGCGGGGGGGGGCGGTGGGGGGGGGGGATTAGCAGGCCTTGGGCCCTGCTCACGCTGGCTGGCCGGCTGGCGGAGGAGACCGCCGTGTTTCTCGCTCAGATGTTTACGAAGCCTGAAAGACTCCCTCTTCAGGAAAGGCCGCCGCCCCGCCCTGGGTCGGAGCCGCAGGAGACGCCCAGACGTCCATCGGGGCAGCCAACTGCGTGCCCCTGGCTGGGCCGCGGGTTTGCACGACCGACCCAGGGGCAGGGGCAAGTGGGCGGTGTTGAGGGACTGCTGTGCACTCTGCAGCGTGACAACAGTGAGGCAGCTGTGGTGGTGCACGGGGCCACCGTCAGAGGCGCCACCGAGCAGGACCCTGACACGCACGAGAGGTCAGCCTCCCAGGCTGCGGCCGCAGGGCAGGGCAGGGCCGGGTCGAGCCCCGGCCAGGCCGGCCTCTGGCGGGAGCCACGCGGGGTCCGCACTCTTGCTGCTACTTCGCACTTGGACTGCCGGGGCGAGACCGTTAAAACCAGGCGGGAGGCTCGTCCTCGCCCCGAGTGCTCCCCCCAGCCCCTCTGGGTGCAGAGACCGGCCTCGTGAGGGGTGTGGGGTGGGCGCCACGAGGTCCCAGGTCCTCCGGGGACGTGGGTCGGCTTGGTGCAGCCGCCCAGCAGCCTGTGTTTCAGGGAACCATCTCAGATTGAGGCACATTGGACCCCCGTACAACCAACCCCGAGCGTTTACTCTGTGTGCTTGGTTGTCTGCCCCAATCCTCCGTTGTCCCCAGTCCTGAGGGTGGGGGCTGGGGGGGCAGCTGTGCCTGGCATGGGGCTCCTGCCCCCCGGCCACGTCGGCCCTCTCGGAGCGGCCGCCCGGTCCCTCAGGGGTCCCGCTCCTGGAGCCAGCCGGGGTCCGGGCAGGCGACCCTGCGCACAGCCTGAGCGGGAAGGAAGCCGCCCTTGGTGGCCCCCGGGAGCGCGGGCCGATGCTGTTGGTGTCGGACCCCTCCCCGCAGCAGCGGGGCGAGGGGCTCTGGGCGTGACTACGTGGGGGCCTTGTTCTCTCCTTCCTGCTGGCTTTCCTCTCCGCTCCGCAAGCACCTCAAACTTGGCTTCCGCCGGTTAACATCCGAGGAACCGAGTCCCCACTCTTGTCCCCCGCTACCTTGGAAAGTGATGGAATCACCGTTTCTCCGTGAAAAACACGAGCTGACGCTGTCGGAGGTTCGAGGGGAACTGGGGTGGGGGCCTGCAGGAGGGCGCCCTCTGCGCCCCGTGTCCTGCGTGGGCACTGGGGTCCACCTCTCTGTCCCCCCTGATGGCGCCTCGTCCCCCCTTGCCTCCCAGAGCGTGTGGCCCCGAGGGGTTCCAGCCGGCGGTGTTCCGAGAAGTGCACCCCCTGCCGAGCCCCCCCTCCTCGGGCCGGTCCCAGGGGCCGAGGCGGCTGCTCACAGACCCGTGGGGGCGTGTGTGGGTCTCGCTACACTCCCCACACTCGCTACACTCCCCCAACACTCTGCTCCTTGGAGCTGGAGGCCGCGGCTGGTTCTGGGCCCCTCTGTGCGGGCTCGGCCGGATGGCACGCCGCGGGCGGGGGTGTCAGAGGGACGAGGGGGGACGGGACGGGGAGGGAAGGGGAGGCGGGGAGGCCGGTTGTGGTCGCCCCGCCCTTGGCCCGGGCTCCGGGGCTCGCCCCAAGGGCACCGTCTCTCTATTTTAGACTCTCCGCGGTCCGCACACAGCTCTTCGGGGCAAACCAGAATGGGACGTGGCTGGTGCAGGAGCCGGGGGCTGAGGGGAGCCCTGGGTGGGACTGAGTCCAGAGCTGGGGCTCGGTCTTCCCGAAACGCCACGTGGCCGGCAGAGGGCCGCCTCTGCCGCCTCCACCCTGGCTGCGGCGCAGTGCCCGGGTCTGGGGCAGGGGGCGGGGGGCTGAGTCACAGCTGGGTCCTCCAGCTTCCCCGGCCACTGTGGTCAGGACGCGGAGGGGACTGGGGGCGGGAGGGGGTGGGGGGGCTGGACCAGCCGGCTCAGGTGCAACCCAGGTGCCCGGACTTCCTTCCCAAGATGGCACTCGCGCCCCGCCCCCCCCCCTTTCAAAGATGGCTTTCTCTCCCTCCTGCGTGAGCGTGGTGGTGACCGGGCTGGTGCTCAGGGCCAGGAGAGCTTCCTGGCGGCTCCAGTGAGCCCGCTGGATGGGGAGCTGACCGTGCGCCGCCTTCTGAAAGGGGGTGTCTGCAGTCCTCCGATGGTTGGGTCTCGTGTGCCCCCCCCGTCCCCCTGCCCCCAGGCTGATTTCAGAAGCTCCGCCAGAGCGCCCAGAGGAGGGTGTTTCTGCCGTGGGAATTTACAGCAACGACATTTCTGACCTTCTGGCCAAAGGCAGCGGTGCAGTGATGTGTGGGGTCAGGCGCGAGGTGCTGACTGCCGCGGAGGGGAGGACGGAGGGGTCCCCGCTCACCCGCATGCGTGTCTGTCACGGGCCCCTCGTGCCCAGGCCCGCGCCCTGACCCCGAGTCCCAGGGCCAGCCCTCCCTTCGGTGATGCGGCCCTGCGTGAGTCTCAGCATGTGCAGGGGTCGCCCCGTCCTCCACGTGCTTGGGAATCGCCTCTCAGAGCCACGGTGGAGGCCAGCCAGCAGTCCCGGGTCCGTCGTTAACAGTGGACGGCACAGCGCAGCCCCGACGCCGCAGATGAGGCCGCCGAGAGGTTCCTCGTCTCGCCGTGTATAACACACACCCGTATTTCTGGGCCAAGCTTCCAGGAAAAAAACCTCTGGTTTTAATTTTAATTCAATTATTTATTTATGTATTTACATTTAGAAACAAAACCAATGATGATATTCCAGGCTAATATTTTGCAGATTTTGCATTCGGATATTATTATTGCTTTCTAGAGTTAGATTGTTAACGCATAAGCATAAATAAAAGAATTAAAAACGTGGCCCCATCTGGTGTGGCTCAGTGGACTGAGCACTGTCCTGAGAACCAAAGTGTCGCCGGTTCGATTCCCACTCAGCGCACGTGCCTGGGTTGCGGCCAGGTGCCCAGTAGGGGGCGTGCGAGAGACAACCAGTTGCTGTATCTCTCACACATCAATGTTTTTCTTGCTCCTTTCCTTCCCCTCTAAAAATAAATAGAATCTCTTTTAAAAAAGAACTAGAAACATTTATATCAATATGGAATTAGTACTATCCATGTATATAATGTACATCCTTAGTTTCCCCTCAAAAATTTGGGTGAAAGAGTGTGTATTATACACGGAAAAATACGGGTGAGTCACAGGCTCCTCGCGCCGGGCAGACGGGCTCCGGGACTCCCCGTCCCCACGCCCAGTTTGCTTGTGGTGGCCTCTCCCTCCGACACCGGTGGGGCAGGGCCGCTCAGGGTAGGGCAGTGGGGGGGGGCGCGTTTTGCCAGCCCCGGTAGCGTCCGACAGCCCAGAGGGCCCCGGGCCGTGAGGGCAGGCCACTGGCCTCGGATCTGGGCCCCCAGACGTGCACAGAACACCTGCAGGCCGGCAGCTCTGGTCCGCCGTCCTAGCCCACTCACTCACACGGGGGAATAAATCAGACTTTCACTTTATAAACTTGGTTTCCTAGACAAAATCTTTTAAAATCTCGGGTCCCTGAGTGTGGCACACAGGAGAACGCTTGCTGCTGAGGAGGGGAGGAGCCCCGGGCCGCGGGGCTGGGGCTCGGTCGGCCCCCGGGGTCCCGGGGGAGGCGGCAGACCCAGCGAGCCGGCCTCCCTGGAGGAAGGGTGCCCTGTCCCCGGGGGACGCAGGCCCACAGGGCACGGGAGACGAGCTCTCCAAACGGGGTGCCGTGTCCCAGGCAGACTCTGCTCCCCCAGGCCGGTGACTATGACGCCGGGGGTGTCGTGGGGGGTGACGGCCCTCCCTGACAGAACTCCCACGGGGCCCCTGTGTGCAGTTCACGCCCCGGCAGGGGGCGGGCCCAGCAGTGCCCCCGGGGCAGGTGCCCAGGCCCCAGGGAGCCGGCGGTGGGCCCAGGAAGGGGTGGGTGTTGAGCTCGCCCTCGCGCGTCCCTGAGTCTGGCCCAGGGGTGTCCAACTCATTGTCACCGGGGGCCACAGCAGCCTCGAGGTTCCTTCCAAGGCCCGAATGTAGCGTTAGGACTGTGCACATGTCACTGCTCCTTAACCCGGGGCAGGGGCTTGGTGCTGCCGCCGGGCAGAAACCAGGTGGAGGGCGGGTTTGGCCCGAGGGCCTTGTGTTTGCCCCCCGTGATCTAGACCCCGTGGCTTGACCTCTGACCTCAGTCCACAGCTGGCCAGCCCGGCTTGCGTGGGGGCAGGCGGTCGTGTTGGCCAGCCCTTGCCTGAGTCACCATCGCCTGCTCCTCGGGCCCAGAGGGACCCGGGCGGCCTTCCTGCCACTTGGATGGTACGAGGGAGACGTGGGGGGCTCTGCCCAGAGCCCCCACTGCCGGGACCACAACCCCCGTCACCGAGCGGCCACCCACACCCCTCACCACCTCGGACCTGGTTTCCCGGAAACGCTTGCTACGGCGGCACCAGCGGACGGCAGACACTTGCTGTGGCTTCCCACGTCCGCCCTCGAGGCCCAGGGGAAGGACGGGAACAGGGGTCCCGTGCGGAACAGGGGGCCCCGCGGCAGTTCCCCGGGGCCGGCCGGCGGGCCCTGCTGCTCGTGCCTGCTGAGCATGAGGCACCGTCCCGGCCTCCCGTGGCCCCTGGCGCTGGGCGCCTTCCCTGGGGTGGGCTGGACCCGGACTGGTGGGCACAGGGACCTGTGGGCGAGTGGCCTGCGGGCAAGGCTCCAGCCTGGGGCCAGAGGGGGTGGGAGACCGCACCGCCCGGAGCAGCCCCACCCAGCCCCCAGGGCCCAGCCCAGCCTTTTCTGGGTGCGGCAGGCGCCTGCACCCAAATCGGGCCGCCAGCGCCCTCTTGTGGCCGGCGGGACAGGCGCGGCCAGGAGAGGCTGCGGCCGGCTGGAAGGCGAGCTCCCCAGTCCCTGCGAGAGGCCCGTGGGCACAGGTGGCAGCCTCCCCCCACCCCTGCCGTCCAGGGGGCGCCGTGCTCTGACAGGGGGGTGCGCACAGGCTGGCGGGGGCGGCGAAAAACGCAGGCGCACACGCTCAGGCCTTTTTTCCTTCCAGGTTTGAGTTAACTTCATTCTCCCTACAGCCAACCCCTTCCCTGCCCCGAATTTCCAAGCAGCAAAGCGAAATGAAATCCCCCACGTGACGAGGTGTCAGGAACCAGGTTCAGCTCCGTTTCCTGAGAGCGGTCAGCCACCTCACTGGTGTGCGGAAAGGCCGTCATCGGGGTCAGGAGCGAGTTCTGTGAATGGGGCGCACCCTGCGCTTTGGGGGGGAAAGGCGGCAGTGCCCCCCCCCCACGGAGTGTTGTCAATCACACGCTCCCCCGTGGAAGGCACCTGCGACCCTGCACTTCCCCTCCCGAGGCAGCTGTGCCTGTTACGCTTCTTCGCGTAAAAAAGCCGCAGGAGCCTGGAGGGGGGAGGACCTGTTCCCTCTCGCTTTCCCCGAACAGCTGGAGAGAACTTCCCCGTCTGTGGAGCTGTCCGCCCGCCGGGGGGTGCGTGTCCCCGGCTGTCATCATGCACGCCGGGTGTGGGCACTCCTGTCCTCCCCAGAAGGGGCGCGGGAACCCTGCCCTGGCCCGGCCGGAGCTCCGCCCCCCACCTCCGAGGCGCCCAGAGCAGCGGGCAGCAGCCAGGGGACCGGACACTGAGGGGCAGGGCTGGGTGGGAGCCGCTCGCAGTGACCGGCGGACACTCGGGGCCACCCGGAGGCCCAGTGCAGGGAGGACGCAGGTGTGAGTGAGTGTGCGGGCCCTGAGTGCGGGGAGAGGCCTGAGGGGCCCACGGGCGAATCCAGCCACCCCACGCCCCGGTGCCGGGTCGGGCCCTGGCTGGGAGGAGCGCCCCCATCAGCCCGCCCGTCATGGAGCAGCCCCTCCGGGAGCCTCTGCAGGGCGGGCCGAGCCCAGGGGCCGTCAGCGAGGTCGGGGGGAGCCCGGGACCCGGCCCAGCAGCTCTGCGCTGTCCAGGCGGCTGGGGGGTGCCCAGGAAGGCCGCCTGCGAGCCGGGCCCCGAGCTGGGACCAGGCCTCAGCCCTCAAGCTGCCCGGACTGGGAAGGGCAGCAGCCCTTGCCACGGCCACTGCTCGCGAGGCCTGAGCGAGGGCCAGCGGCCCCCAGAGGCAGGCTTGCTGGGAATCCCCCCTGCAGGGGCCGCAGGCCAGCACCGGGCCCCCAGCCCTGAGGGCCGGGTGTGCTGGGTCTGGCAAGGGAGCCCTGTCTCTGCCCCGCCCCCCCGCAACCTGCTGACGGGGACGGGCTCAGCAGTGGAGGTGACCCTGTAGGGGCCAGCACCGCTGACCCGGGCAGGGAGCTCCGCGGCCGCCACGCACAGCCGCCCACAGCCCCAGGGACGGGACGGGCACGGGGTGAGGGGGGCAGGCACTCCATCCCATCACTGCATCCCGGGACCCAACATGTGTGTCAGCTTTCCGCTGGGGACCTCGGGGGCTCCCTGGGGACCGGGTGCCCACACTGCAGAGTGGCGGGGCGCTTGTGCCGACCGTCGACGGGGGACCACTGCCTGCGGGGCCTGGGGTGACGGAGCTGGGCCACCGCTCCCAGGGGGCCTCCGTCTGCAGGTCCGGGGCTCAGAGCCTCAGGAGCCACAGAGGGCAGCCCAGGGACGCCTGGGGCTTCGCAGGGACCATGACCGGGAGGCCTCCCAGGGGGGCTCTGTGCCTGCTGCCCATCCACGCGGACGGGGCGGACGGGGTGGACAGGGTGGATGGGGGCGGACGGGGCCTCTCCTCTGCCGGCCACATCCCCCAAGGAGAGCAGGACCTGCCCTTCACCTCGGGAGCTGCCCTGGGAGTCAGTTTCACACCTCTGACCGGTGAGGCTGGGGGAGGAGGAGTCTGGGGCCGAGGGGCGGAGCCCGAGGCCCTGTCCACCAGGCTCACCTGGTGCCTCCAGCACAGAAAGGGCTGGTGGGGCCACCGCAGCCACACTGCTTGGGGGTGCGGCACGGACTGAGCCCCATGTGGGCGGAGCTACGGGGCCTGAACGGACCCCTCCGAGTGGAGGGGCCTGTGTGTGCTGAGCCGTGCAGGGTGGACCGGGCCCCGCTGTGGCGGCCTACACCACAAACTCCTCCGGGGGCTGGTCCTCCCCAGGAAGGCGCAGGGAGGGGCGGCGCGTGGACCCACTTCCATCCAGGGCCGAGGGTCTGGGGTCCACCCCCACGCCAAGGGGGCAGCGGCGCGGGGCGGGCACAGGGCGCGGGGCGGGGCGTGGACGCACGTCCTCCAGGCTGCGGCTGTGCCGGTCTGAGTGGACGCGGCCCGAGGTTGGCTCGGGGACCTGCAGGGAGGGAGACCGAGGTGCATCCTGCCGCCGCTTCCTCTCCGACCGGCTGTTTCAGCCCCGACAGAGCCCACTGGGCTGTCCCCCACTGACCCCGCCACGTCTGTCCCCCGCCCCGCCTGATGCTGAGCTCCCGGCAGCCCCCTGCACCCCTGGCCTCGGGCCCCCTCTGCTTGCTGTCCCTGCAGGGGATGCCCCTGTGGCCGCCCCCACTGTCCCCTCCCTGCCGGCCCTGCCCGAGCCCCGGCCGCCCTGCTGCTTTCTCGCAGGGACACTGGAGCTGCCCCTCGTGTGCACCCACAGCCCAGGGGGCCCGGACGGCTCGGTGAGCACCTGCCCCACGGTGAGCACTGAGCACACACGAGGAGGGACGCCCACGCTGCAGGCCAGGGGCTCACCCGGACGCTGAGGCCAAGGAGAACGGCCCCCCACCCGCCTGGTGTCAGGAGAGCCTCACTGTCCCCCCACTGCCTGCCTCTGGTGCTGGGGCCTCAGTCCAGGGACCCCCCTGCGGGCCCAGGGGGGTGCTGGGCCCCGACTGGGAGGGATGGGAGAAGGGGGGGTACCTGGTGCAGGGCCTCGGCGCTCCGGCCCCTCACCTTGACCAGCGTGACCTGCACCACTGCCCAGGGCTCCTGGGAGCCAGAGGCTGCAAGGAAGGGCGGGGACATGGGGGGCCAGCGTCAGCGCCCCGGGTCGGCTGCACACAACAGGCCGGAACAGCCCCCCCCGCCAGGGACCTGAGACAGGACTGGAGGCTCCTGGGGTCCAGCTGCCTGGGCAGGAATCGGGGACCAGGGTCACCTGCCTCTCTCAGGTGACACCTGTTACCCCATTGGTGCCGGAGCTGGGGCCGGTGGCCCCACTCACCGTTCCCGGGGTCCTGGGCGTCCCCCTGGGGCGGGCGTGCATGGCTCCCTGCTGAGTCCCCGCTGCCCTGGCTGGGGCTGGGGCTGCAGGTCGCCACACTCCCGCGGAGCCCCTCGGCCCCGGGGGGCGCGTCCACCGACATCTCCCCGGGCTCCAGGCCCGGCCCGTGGGAGCTGCCGGCGGACAGGAGCGAGAGGCGGGAGGGATGCCGGTCGCTGCCCCCGCTGTTCCCGCTGCCGGCCGGGCGCAGGTCCAGCTCCAGCGTGTCGCCGATGTACACCTCTCGGCAGCTTGTCTTATCTGCGCGGAGACGGGAGGGACGGCCCACGTGAGAGAGCGCCGGGGACGGGAGGGGCCGCGCGGGGCTCCCGGTGCCCTGGGAGAAGCAGCGTGTGTGTGTGTGGGGGGGGGAAGTGTCACCCCGAGGTCAGGGCTCCGCTGGCTGCAGTGACCGCAGCCAGTGAGCCCCCCAGGCCCTCGCGATGACCCCCAGGGCACTCAGGTCACCCCCAGCTGGAGGGGCAGCCGAGCAGTCGCCCACGCACGCAGGAGAGCGCGGGCACGCACATGCATGCGCATGTGCACACACGCACCCCCCTGGTGTGCCCCTCCGCGGGCACTGGGGAGCTCTCCCTCAGAACCCCCCAACCCCACAGACCCTGCTTTCCGAGCTGGGCCGCAGGGGGCTGGAGGGACGGGGCTACCGCAGCTGTCTGCGACCGGACCGTCCGAAGGGCCACGGGAACCAGGACACCGCGCCCCGCGCCTGGGAGGGGACGAGGCGCTGCGGGCCGCGGTGCCCAGAGCGAGAACGGGGCGGGGGCCCCCGGCGGCGCCCACCTGGCGCCTGCTCCAGCTGCCGCAGCCGCCCCCGCGCGGGCTGCAGGGCCAGGTGCAGCTGGTGGCTGGCGCGGAGCAGCCGCAGCAGGTGGCGGGCGCGGGCGGCGCAGCCCGCGTAGTACACCAGTTTCCGGGCGGCGGGCAGCCCGTCCGGCCAGATCTCGAACCTCCTCCGCTGGACCGGGCAGCAGAGACGCGGTTTTACGCAGCGGTGACGGCAGAGCTGCGTCCGACGTCGGCCACGCCCCTCTCCGCCCCCCGCCCCCCGCCCCGGGGCAGCGGCCGTGGCTTCTCTGCGCAAGTCTAACCCCGAGTGCAGGCTGTCCACACAGGAGCCAGCAGGCCTGCGGGCGCCAGCGGGCCTCCCCGCCCTGCGACAAAGAGCCGGGCCCGGGCACCCCCGCGCTGGGCGGTGCGGGACCCAGTGCCCCGCAGATGGCCTCAAGGACAAGCACCTGCAGGGCCCCCGGGCGAGGAGACCCCCCCCGCCCCCGCCGGGACCCAGGGACACCCACCAGGAACGCCAGCTTCCCGATGCGGGCCCAGGGGAAGTCGTAGAGCAGCCGGGGAGCGCGGCCCGCCTCCTGCAGGACAGCGGAGGGGGCGTCCACCAGGGCCGGCCTTGGGGACAGGGCCCCGCCCTTCGCGGGGGGGGGAGCTACCTGGTAGACGCGCACCCCTCCGGGGGTCAGTCCCAGGACGACGGTCGGTCCGCCTTCCTTCTTGTCCTGGAAGGATGCCCGTGTCAGAGGCTGGAGCCCGGGGCCTGGGGGAGGGGGCCCAGGGACAAGCAGGGCCCCCAGGCTCCTCCCACTGCCGCGCTGTCTGACGCTGGAGGCCGGCCCAGCCTCCTGCCCTTTCTCTGGTCCACTCCCCATTGACCAGCCTCCTCGGAACCCCGACCCCCGCCCCCCACCCCGGGAAGGGCCACAGCAGGCTCCGCCCCCCGCAGTCCCTCTGTCCCGGTGTGGGGGAGGGTCCACCTTCCTCACCACCGGGAACCTCTCGGCCGCTCCAGCACCCAGCTCAGGGTGTGCCAGTGCGCGCTGGGGCCGCGGCAGGGGCAAGCGGACCGCAACCGCGCGCTGCACCGGCACGACCTCCGACCCGTGCTCGGCCTCTGGCCGCGGTCAGTCGTGGGGACCTCTCCCTCCTGTCCCAGGGTCAGTGCCTGGGCCCCCCCTCCCGCCAGGGCCACCCCGAGGCGGCCTGAGCTCCCGCCTTCCCCCGGGCCCCAGGCGGGACCTTGCGCAGCCGGAAGAGGTGGACGGGCACGTCCTCCAGGCGGCAGGCCTCGCGGATGAAGCGCAGCAGGGCCTCCCTGGGGTTCAGGCCCCGCTGCTCGCGGTGCAGGGCCGGCACGTGCCGGAGCAGGTAGGCGCTGCCCCTCTTGGCGATGATCTGGGGACCGAGCACAGGGGGGTCAGGCCCTCCGGCCGCCTGGCGGCCCCCCCAGCCCCACCCCACGGCCTTACCCACGGCGGGAAGTAGGAGTGTGGCTCGAAGTACCGCCCCACGTGGGCGCGCAGCCGGTGGTTGCCCAGGTCGGCCTGCAGCCCGTAGGCGGCCAGCAGGAAGTAGGCCTCCTCGCGGTGGGCGCACTGCGACCGCAGCACCTGCCCCTTCAGGTGGCTGTAGTACAGGCGCCTGGCTGCCTGGTCGCTGGAAGGCAGGGCGGTCATGGTCCCCAGGGCCCTCCCCCTGCGCGTGGTCCTCCCACCCTCCAGGGGCTCAAGTCCCCGCCGCCAGGTCCCAGGCCACCTGCCGGGAGGGGGGGCACAGGGCACCTGCTGCTGGCCACTTCTGCCTGACACACCTGCCCCCACTCACGGCGCCGCCTCCCACCCCACAGCGGGTTAGGGGGCGCCTTCCCGAAGACGGACCCTCTCTGCGAGTTTTCTGGCGTCAGGGGGGGAGAGGCTGGCTCGGGGAAGAGCCGGTGGACTGTGGCCGGCCTCTCAGCCCAGGCGGGCTGCACCCACGGCCCGCCCCCCCCCCCCCCCTGTGACCTCTCCGGAACCCGCCACATGACCCCCGTCCCTCCCTCTCCCCTTTATCTCAGAAGGCCTGGCGGCCCCCGGGGCCCCTGGTGATCCAGGTCCTTTCGGGCCCTGGTCTGGGTCGCTCTGGGGGGGCTCTGTGTTGCCCTATGAGCTGCGGACACCCCCCAGCTAACTCAGCAGGAAGCCCCAGGTGCTGTGGGACATTTCCTGCCCGGCAGACACCTGCAGGTCCACCTGGGAGCGAGTGAGCCCCCAAGCTGAGCAGGACCCTCGAGCCCACCCGTTCCTGCCCCCAGGCCCCCACCCGGGAGGGCAGGCGCAGCTGCGTCTGCAAACCCCACTGTCGGAGCACCGTCACCGGGGCCTCCTCCCGGCGGCCGGCGGTACCGTATCAGCCGCCCGTCCTCCACGTAGTGCTGCACCCGGAGGAAGGTCACGAAGGTGGCCCCGGGTCCCCCGCCATCCTGCGGGGAGGGTGCAGAGGAAGGGCCACGGGATGGTGACCGTCGGGCAGCACCGGGGTCCCCGGACACGACTGCCCAGCCGGCCCTTGTGCAGCGCAGGCCCTCGCAGTGGGCAGCGCAGGGACACGGCGGCTGCTTTACCAGGGAGGGCCGAGCGGGGTGTCGGCCGCAGCACGGAGGGCCTCAGCCAAGGCTGCATGGGGCCGGCGGCCTCCAGCAGGCACGGGGACCCCCCCACCACGGCAGCGGGACGGCCGCACCGCGGGGCCAGGACTTACGCTCCGCGGCTCTCTGCCCCAGTCCTGCGAGAAGTACGTGCTGAGTTTCTGCTCCAAATCCATGAACATGTGCTCGTCCTCTGCAGAGAGAAGGGGGGTCTGTTGGCCGGCCGTGTCGCCGAGGGCCACAACCTGAGCAGCAGAGGCGGGGTGGGCCGGGGGCAGGGGTGCCGTCCACACTGGCAGCCGGGGGCTGCGGGGTGTCGGGCGCTGGCTGCGGGCTCTGCCAGGCGGCTGCCGGGGCGCAGGGAGAGCAGAGACTGACTCGGACGCCCGCGGCCAGCACCGCCTGCGGGGACGCCCTCCCTGCCGTCTCACCCTCCAGCAGCCCCTCTCCTGGAGGAGGACAAGTCCTCCCAAAATACGACGGCGGGGGGCCGCACAGCACCGGGCGTGACTCTTCGCAGCAGGCACCGCGCCTGCAGCGGGCAGGCGCACCCACTCCTCACACTGCGCCTCAGGGTCGGGTCGGAGTCTCACGGGTGGGTGGGGGGAGACAGTGTGTTCTTTCCAAGGAGCCTCTCTCAGCCCTGCCCCTGGACACGGCGGACAACTCGGTGTCCTGGGATGGGAGGTGGCACCTGCACACAGGGAGTCCCGGGCTGCCTGCAGGCATGGGGACAGGTGACCGCGGGGGCCAGCACGCGGGGCCCAGGGGCGGGGCTGGTGCTAGCAGGTGTGACACAATCAGACTCGGGGCGCCGCGGCCCAGGGCAGACAGCGAGCAGGCAGGTGCCCGCCAGACTCCGCCCCCCGAGGAGGCGGGGCCTGGCTGGGGGTCTGGGGGCAGAGCTTGCTTACCTCTGAGCACACTGAGGCCAAAGAAGCGGGTGTCTCTGACGCCGGTCTTGTCGCACACCAGCTGGAACAGCTCACGCGCGGTGGCCTGCACCTGCCAAGGGGCAGGGGTGGCTCCAGGTGCAGCCGCCGCTGTGGCCCCCAAAGTGGGGGCTGTGAGGGGGCAGGACCACCGAGCTGGGGCTGGCGGGCGGGGCCTGGCTCAGGCCACGCCCCTCAGGAGTCAATGCTCCACGGCTGCGGTGACTGCCCTGGCTGCAGACCAGGCGGCCCCGACCCGGCAGGCAGCCTGCCTCTGCGTCCCTGGGCCGAGGGCGGGTGGCCGCTAAGACTCGGTGGGTGAGCTTGGTGCTACCCCTGGGCTTTCGCATTCTCACCCAACCTCACCCAGGCCACTCAGAGGGTGGGGGGAGGCTGGGCACCCCCAAAAGGGGCGAGGTGCCATGCTGGGCCCAGAGAGCTAAGGGTATGGCTGGGCCCGTGGGCCCCCGGCAATGCTTCCCAGAGGCGTGAGGAAAACCAGCCACCCACGGGTGTGCGCTGTCCCCACCCCGTTCCCACCAGGCCTTCCTGCCTCGGCCCTCCCAGCTTTCCTCCCCCAGGCCCGGCCCCGCCCCCGCCCCCGCCGCAGCCCCTTCCACACAGGTGGGGGTGCACCGGCCGGGCTGCCGCTCTCCGTGTAATCTGCCACGCACCCCGTTTTCCATCAGCTCACCCGTGTTGCACGATGACTCAACACGTAACCAGTTCTTAACATCAAGCATCCCGTGAGTTCAAATTTACGGTTGTCTCAAATATCAACTTTTTTAAAGTATATTTTATAACAGTTGTCCCATTTTTTTCTCCCCTTTATTCCCCTCTGCCCTGTAACCCCCCTCCCACCAGCATTCCCACACCGTAGTTCATGTCCACGGGTCGTACATCTAAGTTCTTTGGCTTCTCCACTTCCCACACTATTCTTAACTTCCCCCTGTCTGTTTTGTACCCACCATTTATGCTTCTTATTCCCTGTACCTTTTCCCCCATCCTTCCCCCATCCTTCCCCACTGATAACCCTCCCTGTGATCTCTGTTTCTGTGAATCTGGTCCTGTTCTAGTTGTTTGCTTTGTTTTGTTTTGTTTAGGTTCAGTTGTTGATAGTTGTGAGTTTGTTGTCATTTTACTGTACATGTTTTTTATCTTATTTTTCTTAGAGAATTCCCTTTAACATTTCATATAATAAGGGTTTGGTGATGATGAACTCCTTTAACTTGACCTTATCTGGGAAGCACTTTATCTGCCCTTCCATTCTAAATGATAACTTTGCTGGATAGAGCAATCTGGGATGCAGGTCCTTGCCTTTCATGACTTGGAATACTTCTTTCCAGCCCCTTCTTGCCTGTAAGGTCTCTTTTGAGAGATCATCTGATAGCCTCATGGGAACTCCTTCATAGATAACTGTCTCATTTTCTCTATCATGCTGACTGGTGTGGCTCAGTGGACTGAGCGCCAGCCTGTAAACCAAAGGGCTGCTGGTTGGATTGCCAGTCAGGGCACATGCCTGGGTTGCAGGCCAGGTCTGCAATAGGGGGCATGCAAGAGGCAACCACACACTGATGTTTCTCTCCCTTTTTCCTTCCTTTCCCCTCTCTGTAAAAATAAATAAATAAAATATATTTTTAAAAGATTTTATCTTTAACCTTTGGCATTTTAGTTACCATGTGTCTTGGTGTGACCCTCTTTGGATCCACCTTGTTTGGGACTCTATGTGCTTCCTGGAAGTCTATTTCCTTTGCCAAATCAGGGAAGTTTTCTTTTCATTATTTTTTCAAGTAGGTTTTCAGGGTCTTGCTCTTCCTCTCCTCCTCCTGCCGCCCTGTGATCCGGACGTGGTACGTCTGGAGTTGTCCCAGCGTCCTCTCATTCTCTCATTTTTCGAAATTCTCGTTTCTCCTTTCTCTTCTGGTTGACCGTTTGTTTCTGCCTTTTGTTCCAAACCACTGGTTTGCGTCCCGGCGTCCTGCCCCTCACTGCGGGTTCCCGGTGGGCTTTTCCTTGTGTCCCCGAGTGCAGCCTTCCTGGCGGCCTTCCTTTATGCTGCCGCCGCACTGCGTGAGCTCTCTGAGCGCCCTGACCACCGGCGTTGGAGCTCTGCCTCCGGTGGGTTTCTGGTCTCTGGTCCGCTCAGTTCTCCTTTGGGTCTCGGTCAGTTCTTCCACGTGGGCCGTGTTTCTTTTCTCCGCAGTGTGGCCGCCTCCCCGTGTTTGTTTCTGGGTCAGGTGGAGCTGCTTTGACCCCTGTCTTCCCGCCCCTCCAGGGCCCCGAGGCCCCTGTGGGGACGCAGGAACCCTGAAACCCGCCCCTCGGCTCCCACGTCGCATCGCCAGCCTGGCGACAGGATGCTGCTCGTATAAGTGCGTCCCCGAGCAGACAGGAGACGCGGGGGGGGGGGGGGACCCGCACAAGTCTCACCAGGAGCAGCGGCGCCTCGTTTCAGAGCACGGCCAGCCCCGTCCGAAGCTCTCCACGGACCCCCTTGTCCCTGAACTGACGGTGCTGTCTCCTAGGGCCGGCCAGCGTTCCGGGGTCTCCTCTTCCTCCAAACTCAGCCGAAACAAGCGCAGAAAGTGGGTCCCTCTTCCTCGGACTGCGGCCGAGCAGCCCGCGCAGCCCGGGACAAACAGTGAGCGGTGTTCCCGGCGGAGCTCGGCTCCCCTGCCCCTCCCCTCGGAGTCCCTGGGAGGGGGTGCTGAGCCGGGAACTGACGTCTCACGTCGGGGGTGTCCCTCAGGGACTCCCCTTTGTCGCGGGAGTAGGCCGGTCCCCTCCCCCCGCGCAGACCCCGCCGGTGCTGCGGAGCGGCACGCCCCCTGCCGGCGGCGCGGGGCGCAGAGCGCGGCCCCCCGCGGGCCGAGACGCACGCCTGCGCGGCCCGCGCGGCCCCAGCGGGGTCCGGACCAGCTCGTGGGGAGCGGAGGACACAGAGAGGCCTCGGAACCAGGCTGAGCACGCGCCCGCCCCTGGGCCTCAGTTTCCCCACGTGTACAGTTGGACGAGAGACGGCTCCGGCTGAGCCTGAGGCGGAGCGCGGGCGCCCCCGCGTGGGAAGGGGCCGCTCTGGGCGGTGGGCGGTGCAGACAGGACCGGCTGCGGGGCGCGGCCACTGTCGGTGGCCACTTCCGATGGCCCGGTCGGGCGAACGGAAAGCCACTGCGCCTCCCACCCAGACGACCAATGAAAGCGGAGAGGACCACGCTCCCCGGCCAAAGGAGCCCCAGGTGGGACCCGGCTCGTCCTTTGGGTGACCCGAGAGGCCCGCCCAGGCGGCCGCCACGCGCCCGCCGCCCGGCGCCAACCCAGCGCGCCCCCGAGTGGACAGCTGGCGCAGCGGCGCGGGAGGGGTCTGCGCCCCGAGGGCTGGGCACCGGCTCCGGAGGGTCCGCCCCACGCTTCCCCCGGCGACTCCCAGCCCAGCAGGAGCCCGGCAGGTTAGACGCGCTTCTCCACGGGGGTGGGGGGAAGAACGGGTCCCCGGAAGCAGACTGCTGGGCTGGGGAGCCGATCCGTCCCGGCGTGGGGGGGAGTGGGGGGCCGTGCGAGAGTGAGCTCGGCGGGAGGGGCCGGGTCCGCAGGGCGCCGGCCCAGACAGGGTGCTCAGACAGGCGGCGGCCTCTACGGTACTGATCGCAGACGTTTATTTCGGCCGCTGGATGCAGCGGGGTTGGGGCGGGGGACGACCAGGGGAGGGTTGCGGGTGAGGGGTCCCCCACGGGTGCCGAGTCCACGAGCGGATGAGTTACTGATGCTCATCCCTCCTGAAAGGACGGCCCGGGCCCCGTGACAGGCCCCACGCCGCAGCCGTCCAGGGGCCCCGCTGCCCGCCGGCGGCCTCAGAGGCCAGGCGCTGGGTGTGTGTGTGGGAGGGGGTGTTGGCGAAAGTCGCCTCCCGCAAGACGCAGGTGAGGTCGGGGTTCCCGACACCTGGAGGGAAAACTCGGACGCGCGGGAGCCGAGAGTGGACGGTGGAGAATGAAAGGGAAGGATGGTGTGTGTGTGTGGGGGGGGGCGTACAAACTTTACCAGCCACGTGGGCCGCCCACGGGCAGCGGCTCCCTCCCCAGCGCACCTTCGGGGAGGGTGGGGGGGGGCCCTGTCTCTCCTGGCCCCGGCAGGAGGCTCGGGGGCCCGCAGTCCCGGAGAATCTGACGGTCCTGGGCCCTCAGCGTTGCTCCCGGGAGGGGCACAGCCGCACTCCGGCCCGCCCCACCCCCAGGCCACGGGGAGAAGGTCCCGACGCGGTGGGTCCCTTGGAGCAAAATTAACCCAGGAAGATGCCGGGCTCTGTGGGGACCGGTCAGCGCTCAGCTCCAGGACACTGGACACTGTGGGGACTGGTGGGCCCGGCCACAGCTGCGGCCGCACAGCCAGAGGGGGCAAACGCCATACAAGGCGGCCAGCAGTGCCAGGAAGGGACACGGCGTCCTGTCCGAGGGGGAAGGGCAGCGGACCCGTTGGCCCCACTCGGCCCCCCCGGCCCCTGCTGTGCCCCTGCCCACCCCGCTCCCCCTCACCGTCACCCCACCGTCACCCCACTCCCCTTCCCACTCACCCCCACGACCAGCCGCAGCTGCTCCTGTGTGGGCAGCAGCACCAGCACGTCCCTGCACTCCACGGTCATCGTGCTGCCCCTGGCTGTCCTCAGCACGGGCTGCCTCCGGGGTCTCCTCTGCGGGAGACACCCGTCAGGGGCGGTGGGGGAGGGCCGCGCAGCCACGGCCGGCCGGCCACCTCGAGGGGTGGGGCCGCGTGAGTCGGCATGTGCCGGGCCCACCCCTCCATCTGCCACGGCTGGGGTGCGCCCCAGACTCACCCAGCTGCGGGCCCCCCGAGGACGGGCGCCCTGGGGAGCTCTTGGCCCGGGAAGGACGGCAGGCGTGGTGGCCAGACGGCAGGCGTGGTGGCCAGACGGCAGCCCGCCCCTCGCCGGGACCAGGTCCGGGGCTGGGACGGGCTGGGACCGAGCAGGGCGATCGGAATGCAAACAAACAGTGTCAGGCTGGACGGCCTTCCGCCTGCCGCCGAGTCACTCCCTCGCAGACGGGCCACCTCCCTCTCTCGGGGGCCAGGGGACAGGGCCACACGGAAGCCCTGGACACGGATGCCAGGACCGGGGGCACTGCTGAGGCTCCGAGAGAGGACAGAGGGGGGCAGGAGAAGCCCCACCCCACCCTCAGCCTCCCGTGCGTGGTCACCAAGCAAACACGGCACAGCAGGGGCCACGCTGGGGCCCAGACACGGGCCCTCGGAGGCTGCTGAGTCCCCTCAGGAGCGGGAACTGAGGACGACCCTTTTCTGGCCCCGGGTCACCGCCCACCTGCCCGGTGCTGAGAACCAGCTGTCGAAAGGCTGGGCACGGACACCCCCGGGGACATGCTGGGTGCCCCTGCTATCTGGCCCTGTGGGTTAGAAGGGGCAGAAGCCTCCCCCTGCCCCGCCTGCCCACACTGCCCACAGCCCCGGCCCCGCACAGGTTCAGGGCTCCCCCCAAGCTGCCCTGCAGACCCAGGACCTGGGGGCTGCAGCCCTGTCCCCGCCTCTCCAGGGAGAACGCTGAACTACTCCTCTCGGGACGTAGGTATGGCCCTTTAGCCGGCGACACAGCAGTTCCGGAAAAGGCGAGCAGCCCAGTGGAGGGACGCCGGGGCTGGCAGTGTCCCCGAGCCCAGGCTCCCTCCTGGCTGCTCCGCCCAGGACACTCACTGAAGGTCGCCGGCGCTCCTGTTGGAAGGACACCAGCGGCCGCTCCTTTCTCTCCTCGAGGACGGAGGGAACAGGCTGCCTCAGCCACACACGGGCTGAGACAGGCAGTCCGTGGGGGCGGCCGCAGGATGCCGAGGGGACCCCACCGGGGATGGGCCCCCCAGGACCGGGAGCCAAGGGCTGACGCCACCTTCCTGCGGGGCAGGTGGTGGCCCCCAGGCAGCACGAGCTCGGCCTGGGCTTCCCCTCCGTCTGGTGGGGCAGTGGCCCCGCCTGTGTGCGGGGTGCAGACCCTGTGCTGGGTGACGGACGGCTGGCACACGCCCCATGGGGGCTCCTGGCCCTCCGGTGGGGAGAGCAGAGAACGGGGAGCACCCTGCGCTCTCGCTGCTGAGCGCCACGAGGCGATTCTCCGGGGTCCCCCCCTCCTCCTCACGGAGGCCTCCGGGCCCCAGGGTCAGGGCCAGCAGTGGGGGGGGGGGGACCACTTCCTGGAAGGCTGCAGAGGCTCCTGTCTCCAAGGGCCACCCCGCCCGGGTCCCCGCACCTGTTGGTCGCTGTGCCGTGGCCTGTCCAGAAGACAGGAGCTGCCCCGTCTGGGAAAAGGGCCCCGGCCCCCAGAGGATGGGTCGCCACTGTGAGCGAGCGCGGCTGCACTTCCCAGCCCACTCGTGCGCCTGCCTGGGGCACGTCTGTGACTCCAGGCCTGGGGGGCAGGGCGGGCGGGTCCCCAAACTCCCTCCCGGCCTGCCTCCTCCCACGTCAGGGCTCCGATGCCCTCTCTGCCCACTTCTCTTCCCTCTGGAAACCCGGGCCTCGGCCACGGGACCGGCCTGCGGGACTGTCTCCAAACAAACCTGCCGAAACGTGAGCCCATGAAGTCTGGGTCTCACAGGAGGACACGGGGGTGCCACTCAGCGGTGGAAGGATCGGAGCACGGTGCCCACCGGGTCAGGCGGGGGACAGCCACCCCACGTGTTTTCTGCAGCCACGAAACGTCCGGGAGAGCAGCACCAGAGACAGAGCAGTGGCCCGCGGCGGCCCCGGCGGCAGGGGCCGGCACACGTCAGCCCGGGTCCCTCTCGGGGCCGCAGGAACACTGCGTGTATGGAGGGGCTGGAGGCACGCCCCGCACCTGCACTGCAGCTCCCCCGGCCGCCGGCTCGGGCGGGCATGTCCTGCGGCAGGCGGCCGCTCCCTCCGGGAAGCTGCTCAAGCGCAGACGGCGTCGCACAGCAGAGAGACACACGGTCATTCGACAGCCGGCGCGAAACGCCAGCACCGGCTGGAGCGGGCGTGTGTGAGCAGGAGTGTGTGTGTGCAAGTGCGTGTGCACGTGTGTGCGTGCCTGTGGCTGGCACCGCCTCCATGGCCGTCGACCGGGCCGCGTCCCCTCCTGCACAGCTGGCACGTGGCACTGAGGCTTGGGGACGGGGCCCCTTCTTCCTGGAGGACACTGCTGCTCAGGGCGGGGTGCCTCAGGGGTGGGGGCGCTCGTGCCCCGGGACCGGCTCCGGGAGGAGACTGGGGGGGCGGCGCCTGAGCCACCACCCCCGTCCTGGTGGCCAGCTGTGGTGGCCGGGACAGCAGAGGACCCCAGATCCCGCCGTGCCGGGACCGGCCTCGTGGCTGCTGGACCGCAGGAGGGAGTTGGGGGCAGAGGGGAGGGGAGGGGGTCAGTCACAGCAGGGCAGCCGCCCCTACCTCCCGGCTTCTCGGCTCCTTCCCCGCTCGGCCCAGCCACTCAGCGGATTCCTGGGATTCCTGCCCTGCACCCTCCCTGTGGCCGGGAGTGCCTGCGGAACACTGACCTCACCACCAGCACGCCTGCTAATTACGGTGTCAGGGGGCCCGCCCAGGAGGGGGCCGTTAGCTGTGGGAAGGACAGACGGACGGACAAGCCCTCAGATCCCACCCCTCCCACACCTCAGCTGCAGGAGTGCCTGCCTGCCTGTCCTCAGTTCCATTCAGTAAAAAGTTAAATGCTGCCACCTGTCCTCCAAACAGAGCCTGTGACTGTCTTCTCAGCACACACAGACCTTGAACACCTCACGGGGCCCCACGCCGTCCCACCACCCTGACTCACAGGGACCTGGGGCTTAGGGCGAAGACACACTTCGGGAAATACAGTGGGTTTTGGCCACAGAAGCTGCGGCCCCTGGCAGCCGGGTGGCCTGGGGTGTCGGGGGAGGCCGTGGCCGCTGCCTCGTGGGTTGGGTGGCAGCGTGTGCCCCAGCCCCCCCAGCCTCCGTGAGCTCCGGAGGAGCTGCCCCCAGGAACCAGGCCGAGACGGGGTCTGCCAGCCCGGGGGACCCCCGTCTGGGTGGGGTGCTGTCCCGTCACCCCCAGGGCTCACGATTGCTACAGTGACGGCACGGAACAGATTGGCCTTCAGTGCATTTTATTCCTGCTTGCAAATGCTCTGCACACAGGGCCCCACCCGCTGGGGCCCCTTGAAGGAAGGCCCCTTGCAGCCCTGGCCACTGGGGGCCATTTCGGGTGAGAGTGCGGCCCGGGCCCCCTCTGACAGGGGACACTGCTGCTGCAGGAGGGAGAGGCCATGGGCAGCAGTGGCCAAGCCGGGGCGGCTGTGCCAGAGTCAGCCAGCTTCTCCAGTCCTGGGTCCTCGGGGCCTCGCAGGCTGCAGACCAGAGGGGTCCTGGGTGCAGCCCTCCACGGGGCGAGCAGGGCGGGGGCGTCCCCGGCTGGCGGCCGCTGGGGCCACAGAGAACCGACAGGGGCCGGTCTGGCGGAAGGGGCGGGCCCGGCTCTCGGGACTGAACACCGGGAGCGCGCAGACCGGGGTGCACTGGGCAGAAGGGGCTGCTGGGCCAGAGCGGCCGGAAGGGGGCGGCACTCCAGCCCCCACCGGACGAGGCGTCAACACACCCGGCAGGGCCCAGGCACGTGGCCGGAAGGGACACCGCATCTCCTGCCCACTGGCCCCCTGCCGTCAGCTGCACAGCCGGCTCCCCACTGGGCACCGGGACTGCGGGGTCCATCCTCAGTCTGTGGAATGAAAGCCTGGCCTGGGCTCTCCAGGGGTCAGGGGCACACAGCTGGGGGGCTCCGTGGGGAGGACGTGCTGAGCCTCGGGGTCCCGCTGGCCCTGGCTGGGCCCACTCGCACCTCCTGGGCTCCGACAAAGAGAGCCACCCGCACCCACCCTGCACCCCACAGGCGTCCCGGCTCTGAGTGAGACCCCAACCCCCCGGCTGCCCTCCCTCTGCGCAGTGTGTGGGAGCCTCGCTCAGGACGCCCTGGACACTGGCTCTCCACCCAGCGCCCCCCAGAGCAGCCGGGGGCCCGCGGTGCGGCCACACCCGAGCCGGGCCGGGCCCCTCTGCAGACAGGGAGGAGAGCCTCTCGGGAGCCCCCTGCCTTCCCAGCAGCGTCAGGGGGACGAGGGGCCCACGTCAGCGCCCGTGGCAAAGACTCAGGAACGACTGAAAATGCATTTGGACTTCAGACCAGCGCTAACGGGTTCAACTTTTAAAAGCACACACAGCACCATTCATGTGACATCCCACTAGTGCCAGTGACAACAAAGCCGGTCACGGGGGAGGAGGGTGGCAGCGTGGTGGCCAGTCATCCTGTGTCCCCGGCCTGACCCCACGGGTCAGTCCACGGGTGCAGGTCTGGCCGGTGCCCCGGTCCCTCACGGACGCCGGCTGCAGCGCCCGTCTTGGGGCTGGCACCCAGTCTTACGGGGAGAGCCCCACGGGCGAGCAGCCAGCACCTCGGGAGGCTGAGGTCCCCTTGGCAGGCGCATCTGGATGAAGGGACCCTTGCCTCTGGGGCAGGTGGCAGCGAGGATCCCCCCAGGCCTGAGGAGGGGGGGGAGTGGGGGGGGCGGGAGGCCCAGGGCGCTGGTGGCACACGGAGCATCTCTCATCAGGGACTGGTCGGTCTACCTGTGACTGGCGGCCAGGCACGGCCCCCGGGAGGGCTGCAGGCAGATGGGCAGCGGGGAGAGGACGCCTGCCCACGGTGGACGAGGGCTGGGCCCCCGGGGAGGGGGTGCAGTGCAGCCCGTGTGCTGTCCCCAAGACCAGGGACCACGGCAGGGCCCCACGAGGTGCTGTCCCAGGACGGTGGCAGCCCGGTCACAACCGCTTGCGGGTCCTGTGAGCCTTGCAGGGCTGCTACCCAGTGCCCCCTCCAGGGCCTGGCTGAGGGCCGTGTCGTGGCTGTGACCGTCACTCTCCACGGGCTCAGAGCTGCGTCCTGCCTCGGCCTGGCCGGTGCTCAGGGGCCTGCATTCCGGTGCCGGCGCGGGCAGGTGCCGCTCCTGCTGGGGGCTGAGCCGGGGCGCGGGGCGCGGGCGTGGTTCACGGGAGGGGCAGGCGTGTGAGCCTCCTTGCTCCCCAGGCCCCGACCCCACTGGGTGCCCAGGGCCACGTCACGTGTTCAGCGGGATGGGAGGAGGGCTAAGTCGGGTGACCGTGACACTTTTGTGAGTGACAACCGCACGCCTGGGCTCCCGCCCCGAGGAGCAGGGCCTCCCACTCCCAGTCGTTTGGAAGCGGAGGGTGAACTTGCTGTCGAGTGCTGAGGGCGGGGCGGGCGGTGTCGGAAGGGTGACCCGCCACAGGAGCGCCGAGACGCAGTTCCTGGGCGGGGGGACGGGGGGACCCGCCACCCCCACGCGGCACCTCGTGCCGTCGACGAACAGCTGTGTGTGCCGCCAGCGGAGCCCCTGGGCAACGGCAGACGGAGTTCCTGCTGCACGCGCTGCCCTCCCGGGCTCCTGCCCCGTTACTCGGGCACACCCACTCGCGGGGGAACACACCCAGGGCCTTTCGAGGGACCTCTGGG